AGAAACAATAGAAAATAAGCATGGATTAATTAATGAAAGGAAGGGGGGTCGATGCTGGTCGTGCCTACCTGACTTGCAGCCTGTGGTCGCGCTGCAGACCCGCTTCTCCTCCTTGCTCTGGGTCACCCGCACCGAGGACGGGTCGGCTGTCTGCGCCCGGCACGCGAAGCGGAACCTCTTCTCGGTCCAGGTGCCGCCAAAGTTGGCGTTGCCGGGGCCGGGCGCGGCCTCGGACAGCCAGGGGGTCCAGGCCGACAGCTTGCGGCTCTCGGGGCAGGGGTGGCCGTTGCAGGGCTCGTAGTCCAGCGGGCAGCCCTGGCACTCGGCGCCGCCGTGCGCCGGGATGGGGTTGTCGCACACGCGCCGACGCACCCGGAAGCCGCTGCCGCACGGCGACGAGCACTCGCCCCAGGACGTCCACGCGCCCCAGCCTCCGTCTTGCGGCGGGGGCAGCTTGGCTGTGAGCGGGAAGAGAAGCAAAGCATTAGGACCTCATAGGCCGACTAGGCACATTTTACAACAAAAATTGTCAGAATTGTTAATAATAAAAATGTTGGCAAATTTTTGTTGCTATTTATAAGCTTAATTTTTTCAATGAAATTCGTTGCACACTTGCAGGTGTGCCGCATTCTAGTGTAATCCGGGGAGTCGGAGGGCTCACCTGGACAGGGCGGGTTGGACGTGCAGTAGATTTCGCTGCGGTCCTCGCCGACGCAGATGCGGCCGCCGTGCTGCGGCGCCGGGTTGCCGCACGTGCGCTTCCTCGTCTTGACGGCCAGGCCGCAGGTCTGGGAGCAGGCCGACCACGCCGACCAGGCGGTCCAGCCGCCGTGCACGGTGCAGTTGGTGACGGACGTGGTCTCGCCGTGGCAGGGCATCCCGCCGTTGGCGGGCGCCGGGTTGTCGCAGCGCCGCTGCCGGCACTGGCAGCTCGTGTCCGCGTCCGCGCCGTCCACCACCGAGCAGGGCGCCCACGCCGACCACCCGCTCCAGCCGCCGTCCACTGCGCGGTGGAGAAAGATTGATTAGTATTTAGCTTAAGAAGTGAGCCACAGCTCTCATTCACTGGAAACAAAAGTGTGAGAACGTCGTACACTTGTAGGTGTGTAAATGCACATTCGCACACTTAAGGGAGTAGAGGTGTGAATTTTATTTTGAAATTCACACACTTTCCTCCATGTATAAGACTGCCATTCACACACCACAAGTGTATGCAACATTCACACACTTGGGGTTTCAGTGTAATTTTTTTAAGTACAGGATATTTCAGAACATTTAAATAAAATCACAAAAGAAACACGACCGTCACGCCATTCTTCAGCGCTCGCGCTCACCTATTTCGGTGCGCACCGCCCGGTCGGGGCAGCGCAGCGGGTTCTGCTGCCAGTGGCCGGAGGAAGGGTCGCGGTTGGGCGCGGGCGTGCAGGCCTCCTTGAGCTCGTTCCAGCCGCAGTACGGGTCCATGGCGGCGAGGCAGGTGGTGCGCGTCTTGTAGCGCGCGCAGTGCTGCGCGGGGATGCGCATCACGCCCCACTCGGTGCCGATGTACAGCGACTCGGTGGCGCGCAGGAAGTCCATGCGTCGGTAGCGCGGCGGCAGCTTGTCGGTGAACGGCCTCCACAGCTCGAGGATGCACGTCTCCTGGCTGCCCGGCAGCACCGACATCTTCTTGATGACGCCGTCGTCCGTGGCCGCGTACACGACGTGCACGCCGCCCGGGTGGTGCTTGGTGGGCACCACGTCCACGCCGGTGAGCGTGAGCCGCTCGAGGCGGCGGTGGTACAGCGGCAGCAGCTTGGTGGGCTGGATGGCGTGGTCCATGATCTGGTAGCGCGACGAGTCCTGCATGGAGCCGAGGGTGCGCGGGTCGAGCGGGATCTTCTCGCAGTCGAAGTGGCGCGTGCCGACGGGCGACACCTGCGCCTCCCACGCCGACGACGACGAGCCCTGGTACTTGAAGGGCCCGGCGAACGCCGCCAGGATGGCGGACATGTTGAAGGCGCACACGGCCGTGGCCGGGAAGTGGTTGCGGTTCGAGGCGAACGTGGCGTACAGCACCTTCTGGTCCTCTAGGAGCGCCATGTCCTGGATCTCGTCGAAGTACGCCGGGAACTCGCCGGGCAGCGAGCAGTTGAGCCGCGCCTTGATGAAGGTCGTGAACGAGTCCTTGAGCATGAGCGAGCCGCCCTGGTCGTTCTTGCAGATGCGCCCGATGCGCGAGTACACCGCCTTGCCGCAGTTCATGTACTCGATGGCGTTCTCCCGGAACACGAAGTAGTAGTGCGAGTCCGTCTCGAAGGAGCCGACGAACTGCGGGTCGCTGAACCACTTCCAGTCGTACTTGTTGGAGCGGAGCATCGAGGTGGCGCCGAAGTTGCGCACCAGGGCGGCGTCCGTGCCGCCAAAGTCGATGGTGGCGACCACGTAGTACTGCCCCGAGGAGCTGAGGAAGGCGGTGTTGTTGTTGCGCGGGTTGGGCGGGCACTTGCCCAGCCCGGGCACGCGCTCCACAACGTGGTTCACGTTCTCCATCTAAGGGCAACAGATTTTAAGGTCAAAAACATTTCCAGAAAAATTTGCAACCTTTCCAGAAAGAAAGGAAAAAATTGAAATTTTTTAAAAGTAAAATACAAAAACTTAAGGGATTGTCTAAAAATTTCCTAAATTACTTTTTGAGGTGATTAAAATTCCTACGTGACAACTGCGCTGCAGGCGGAGGACAAAGGACACTCACCTCTCTCCAGGTGCACTGCGGCGAGTAGGCGTTGGTGCCGCAGGTGAAGAGCCGCTTGCCGTTGCTGACGAGCACCTTGACGTAGTTGTGGCAGGCCTCCTCGGACTGGCCCTTGTCCTGGCAGAGGCTGGCCTTCTCGGGCGGCGGCGGCCAGAAGGCCTTCTCCAGGCGCGCCAGCCCCCGCAGCGACAGGCGGTAGAGCGCGTCGCGCGCGCCCACCACCACCTGCTCGCGGCCGACGTCGAACAGCAGCTCCGAGAAGGACGAGCTCCCCTTGTCCGTGAACACGTCCGCGGCCAGATCTGCAACACGGTCACATCCGTTTGTTTAGAGTACATATTTTTAATTTTGGGGAAATCGGTCTTGGGGACCGTCTAAGTCCTCTGTTAAATATGACGAAAGTCTGAATGACCAACTTCAATAACGAACAAGCTCAAACTTTTCAGTTGAGTTTTCCCAGATGACATTAACTTTGACGACAAATTTCAGAGTTGATTTCTGTCGTTGATTTCTGTCGTTGCATTTGCCCAGTGCCGCGTCAGGAGCGCTGACGGTGCAACGAGCGAGGAGGCCCTGTCCCGGTAATTAAGAGCGACAGGTCAGCGGCCCCGGCACAGCGTCCGTGGGCAGGAAGCGGCACCGGGACACTCAGCGGCCGGGGGGAAAGAAAAGCTAAGGGACGTTCACTCCTCCAAAAAATCTCTGGTGCTCGGGGCGCGGCGGGGCGGGGCGGCCCTCTCACAGCAGTTTTACCTCATACCACACAGTCCAGTCCACCACGGCCACCACCGGCGCCGCGGCGACGACAAGGGACTCGCGGCCCCGCCACGCCCCACCCCGCCCCGCGGCGTCTACCGGACCGCGGACAAGGAATGCACCTGCACCGCCCGTCATACCGATGCGGCTCGCGTCTCGGCGGCCGCCGCCGCCGCCGCCGCCGGGGGGCAAAAAAGTACAAGGGAAGTATACAACAAGCCCGGTCGTACTTCCTTTGAACCGGGTCTGGGCGGTACACTGTCTACAAAGTGACAGGTCCCGTCGATTCATTTCGCGATCAACTCTTTTCTCCACGTGCGTGCGACGGGCCGGATGTTTCTATGAGAATGAAACTAAAGAACCCCCGTGTTGTGGCGTTATGCCAGTTATACTCGCGACGCCCACTGGGACCAGGTCATGGTCATATACAACGCAGGTCTCAAAAGACCCCACCTTGCGGGCCATGACCGCGGAACGCTTAGAGTTCCTGCGAAGAAACACCCGGGCTATCTGTTGACATTCCGAAAGAGCGAGAGCCATCGAGGGAACATATCCAACCAACGTTGTGGCGGCGGTCTGGGCTGGGGGACCCGGGCCCGCTGGGCCCCACCGCATCGCGACCGCGCCCCCCGCGCGCCACCCTCGCGCACGTGCCGTGTCGCCTCGCCAGCTGCCGCGCCGCGCGCCCCCCTCACCTACACTGTAAATCTGGGGTGCCCAACAGCTGTACGACTCATGTCGCACACTTTTGCATGAAACCTCCTCGCGCGTTTTGGCACCCTTTTCCTGCAGAGGGTCCCGACCCGAGCAAAGGAGTGTCCAATGAGAGGGCGCCTTACTTTGGGTGGGCGTAAATGCGTCTTCAGCCTTAAGGCAGAGATTTGTACGAGAGCACTTCTAAATTGTAAAATTTTCCAAAAATGCATTGAAATTGCAGTTTTATTCTACGCATTGAAGCGTTTTAGGTAGCTCATTACGTTGCGTTCGGTCCAGCAGACCTCTTGATTGGTTCCCACTATCCCTGGCCCGTGGCTGCCAAACTTTCTTCTGGCTGCCTACCCTCCCCCTCCCCCAACACATTTACATTTCACACTATTTCCGTATCGTCAATGTCAATTACTCTGGACACCAGAATCAGGCACACTAGGGGGCACACTATCCCGCGCCATCGTGGCTGCCGGTGGCTGTCGAAATTCCTTTCCGGCTGCCCCTCCAACCCTCCCCTCCCCGAAACATTGACATATCACTCCGTCACTTACCGAGGCTGTCGATATCACTGTACCCGAATCGGGCACCATCCCCACAGTTTGACTGCAAGAATAGGACTAGGACATTCGGAATTCGGATTAGCTCCAGCCGTCTGAAAGGGAGGGAGGGTTGGAGGGAAAGG